GGGGCCCGAACCATTTCACTGAGCCTACAGCCATTTTACTCCAGTTCTGCCACACTACTGCCACCTATACTGGTGTAAGTATGCTAGAACAGGATTTCAGATACAGTTCTGAATTTCAGACTCAAAGCATACCAGACGTTCTTGTACCAACCCATCATTCTTGCTGTCTTTCAGTCTGATCAAACTGACAGTTACTTAAGGATCTGGAGACAGTTCCTATATGCTATGAGCTGCCTACAGCAAACTGGATGTCAGATTACAATTAAGTGCATATCACTGGTCTCATTTCAGAACATGTTAAAATAGCGATAAAGAGGCAGAAGCCAAGAAAAAAAGACAACATTGGGGAACGTTATCTTTTTATGTACTGAGGAGGGAAACAACTAGTACTTGTACCCATAAGAATGGAGACTGGGAGAGTCAGGGAGGATGGATAAAAAATCTGTTCTCATACTGTAAATAAAGTTAGAAATTTAGTCATCCAGCAGGCCAACCCTTCCTGGATTGGATTTCTAATGGGCTACCTCTTTCCACAGGGGTGGCCAATTGGTGCGCTCCCATTTTTGGAATGCATTACCCATAATCCCCATGTGTACATAAACTAGATGATGGTAACCACAGTCCAATAATAACAAAAGCGCTCCAGTCTCTTCCCGAAGGCTCTTCCACACAGCCCTATATCCCAGAATATCAAGGCAGAAAATCCCACATTATTTGAGTGTGGACTTGGATAACCCAGTTCAAAAATATATATTGTGGGATTTTCTGCCTTGGTATTCTGGGATATAGAGCTGTGTGGAAGGACCCCCAGATAATAATAATAATAATAATAATAATAATAATAATTATTATTATTATTTATACGCTGCCACCATCTCCCCAAAGGGGACTCCGAGTGGCTTACATGAGGCCAAGCCCAGCGATACATTACAGCAACATAAAATATAAACAACCAAAATAACATCACAATATAATAAATAAATAAATCAAATAAAATAAACAGTACAAAGTAACATAATGGAACATAAAACACAGTGTTAAGCAGGCAAACTATCCCCTTTCAGAACAGGGTTCCTCCTACCTCGATTCACATACTATTATGGGCAAAAACTATAGCAAAATGTGCTGCAGGATGTCCCGCAAAAACAAAGTTTTTGAAGTTTAATAAACCTTTGCCATGTTTTTATGATAGAACCAATTAGGAAATGGCATTTTTAACCCAGGAACAAAAATCGTGTTGCATAGTGTCATGGGAGTTGCAATCTAAAGCATCAATACAGCAATATTTTTTTCACTAAATTTTGATTTACATGTCACAGGTGTGTTTGAATAGAGTATGCGGGAAAGTAGGTATATTTGCAGAGACTGGAGTAGGTATACTATGCCACAGGAGGATGTAATTCCACCTAAACATTAGGAAGAAATTCCTGGCAGTAAGAGTTGTTTGGCAGTGAAATATGCTTTTGGTGTGAGAGAACTGACTGTCTGCAAGGACGTTGCCCAGGGGACGCCCGGATGTTTGATGTTTTACCATCCTTGTGGGAGGCTTCTCTCATGTCCCCGCATGGCGAGCTGGGGATGACAGGGGGAGCTCAACCTACTCTCCCTGGATGCGAACCACTCACCTGTCAGTCAGCAATCCTGCTGGCACAAGGCTTTTACTCATTTTGCTACCAGAAGCGACTTGCAGTTTCTCAAGTCGCTCCTGACATGAAAAAAGTGAAATATGCTGCCACAGAGCATGTTGGAGTCTCCTTCTCTAGGTCTTTGCACAGAAGCTGGATGGCCATCTGTTGGGAGGGCTTTGATTATGTATTCCTGCATGGCAAGGGGTTGGATTACATGGACTATGGTCTTTTCCAACTTTAGGATAGTACAATTCACTGGAAAAGACAATAACGCTAGACAGCAGTAGTAAATTGATACAAAGAAAGTTCACTCATTTGAAATGTGATGCTGGAAAGGAGTTCTATGGGTACCATCGATTGCTAAAAAGTCAAAGAAATTGGCCCTAGAACAAGTCAGCCCTGAAATCATATGTTGATAGGTTTTTAAATCTCTATGTGTTTTGTTTATATGTGAGTTATATTAATTGTATTGTTTATTTGCTTATTGTTTGTTGTTTTATTGATGTGTTGTTGGGCTTGGCCTCATGTAAGCCGCTCTGCGTCCCTTGGGGAGATGATGGCGGGGTATAAATAAAGAATTATTATTATTATTATTATTATATCTCCTTAGAAGCCAAGAAGGCTAAACTTAGGGCCCTTCTACACAACCATAAAACTCAGAACATCAAGGGAGAGAATCCCACAAAATCTGCTTTGAACTGCGTTATCTGAATCCACACTGCCATATATTCCAGTTCAAAGCAGATAAAGTGGGATTTTATTCAGCTGTGTGGAAGGGACCCTAGATTGTCATACTTTGGACATGTCATCAGAAGGTATGGCTTGCTTAAAAAACCCCAATAATGTTTGGTAAGGCAGGAGGCAAAGAGAAAGACAGCATTATAGATTAGTAAACTCAAACTCAGGCAGTTGAGGAGGTGACTTGGAGGTCTCTTATTAACAGATCACCATAAGTCAAAGTTGACTTGAAGGCAATAATTAACAATAAACTTGTGATGTTTAAGCTTGGGTAAATATGTAGCAGGTACATAAAGTCTTCACTGCCATATAATCCAGCTCAAAGCAAATAATCTGGATTTAATGTCAGTGTAGAAGGGGCCGGAGAAACCCGTTTCCACTGCATCTAAGGAAGTGGGTTTCTATCCACAAACACTAATGCAAAAAGAAAAAAAAGTTAAACTTGACGGCACTGTATCATCTATCTTTTTTCCCCACTTCCTGCTTCATTCCTTCTTTTTATGCTGCTAGAGATTAACAAGGCTACTTCCTTGAAAACTACCTGGGATTAACATAGCTATCCCTCTAGAATATTTTATTGGAGTTTTTAATTTTTTTTAAAAAATCAGTATTTTTGGAGGGGGGGTACACCAGTCTGGGTTTTGCGCCCCTCAAAAGTACAGCAAATAAAATATAAGAGGTAAATAATTACTTTGCTCAATCCAGGGCAGAGACATGGCTATCCTTGACCTTTGGAGCTTTCCAGCAGAAGAGGAAACATTCAACTATGTTACTACCAGGCATGAAGTAAAATAAGAGTGAACCTTTTGGTGACTCTGGGCTCCTGGGAGTTGTAGTTTGGTCAGGAACCTGCCTTCTTGACAGAGAAGGCCCAAAGAACTTGTAAAACTACACATTTCATGATTCTATAGCCTTGAGGAACGGTAGTGAAAAGGGTGTTGAACTGCATTCATTCAACAGAGCAGATAGACCCTTAGTGGCAAGTCTTCTGAAGGTGCATTTACATGCAGAATGAATGCAGTCTGACACCACTTTTAACAGCCTTGGCTCAGTGCTAAGGAATCATGTGATTCATAATTTAGTGTGGCTCCAGCACTCTTTGGAAGAGTAGGCCTTGTGAAAAGACAACTTTGAGGACTCCACAACATTTAGCCATGGCAGTGAAAGCAGTGTGGCGCTGCATTCACTCTATAGCAGTGGTTCTCAACCTGCGGGTCCCCAGTGTTTTGGCTTTCAACTCCCAGAAATCCTAATAGCTGGTTAACTGTCTGGGATTTCTGAGAGTTGTAGGCCAAAACACCTGGGGACCCACAGGTTGACAACCACTGCTCTACAGCATTGATGCACCCAGGGTAGTACAGAAATCACTTTTCTTCCTTTCCCCCTCCCCATTCCTTCCTTCTCTTTTTATTCCTTCCTTGCTTCCAACCTTTTTTTCTCCCTCCCTCGTCTTCCTTCCATTATTCCCCCCTTTCTTCTTTTTCCTTCTTCCTTCCTTCCTACTCTTTCTCCCTCCATCCCTCCCTTTTTCCTTTCTTCCTCCCTCCCTCCCTCCAGCCCCTTCTACACTGCTTTGATAACCTGGATTATATGGCACTGTAGAAGGGGCCTCCCTCTTCATCCTTCCTTCCATTATTCCATTATTCTCCCCTTCTCTTTTTTGCTTCTTTCCTTCCTCCTCTTTCCCCTCTACTCCTCCCTCTTTTTCCCTTCCTTCTTTTTCTCCCTTTTCTCTCTCCCTTCCATCCTTTTCTCCCTTCCATTATCCATTCTTCCTTCTCTCCTTCTCTTCCACTATCTTTCCTTCCTTTTCTCCCTCCCTCCCATTATTTCTTCCTTTCTTCCCTCCTTCCTTTTCTCCTTCCCTTCCATTATCCTTCCTTCTTTTTCTCCCTTGCTTCCATTATCCTTCCTTCCTTTCCATTATCCCTCCTTCCTTTTCTCCCTCACTTCCATTATCCTTCTTCCTTCCCTCTCTTGCTTCCATTATCCTTCCTTCCTTTCCCCCCTCTCTTCCATTATCCTTCCTTTTCTCCTTCCCATCCATTATCCTTCCTTCCTTCCCTCTCTTGCTTCCATTATCCTTCCTTCCATTTCTTCCTCGATTCCATTATCCTTCCTTCCTTTTCTCCTTCTCATCCATTATCCTTTCTTCCTTCCCTTCCATTATCCTACCTTCCCTCCCTCTGTTGCTTCCATTATCCTTCCTTCCTTCCTTTCCCCCCTCTCTTCCATTCTCCTTCCTTCCTTCCTTTTCTCCCTCGCTTCCATTCTCCTTCCTTCCTTTCCATTATCCTTCCTTCCTTTTCCCCCTCTCTTCCATTCTCCTTCCTTCCTTCCTTTTCTCCCTCGCTTCCATTCTCCTTCCTTCCTTTTCTCCACTTCCTTTCCTTCCTTTTCTTCCTCCTTCCTTCTCCTCCTTCCTTTCTCCTTCCCTTCCTTCCTTTCCTCCTTCTTCCTTCCTTTTCTTCCTCCTTCCTCTCCCTCCTTCCTTCCTTCCTTCCTTCCTTCCTTCCTTCCTTCCTTTCTTTCCTTCCTTCCTTCCTTCCTTCCTTCCTTCCTTCCTTCCTTCCTTCCTTCCTTTCCTTCCTTCCTTCCTTCCTTCCTTCCTTCCTTCCTTCCTTCCTTCTTTACCTGGCCTGGGATCCCCCGCACCGCCGCCAGGGCTCCCCGCAGCCAAGTCCTGGGTCCCAGCATGATTCCCTTTTTCCGATCCCAGGCGGGACCCACTGGAGCTCAACGTGGGCGCTGCTGCCCCCTTTCTCCCCTCGGGAGGCGCTTCCTTCCTCTTGCGGCCTCCGCGGCTGCTGCTCCGCCCCAAACAAAGCCCGGCATTGGGCCGCACAGGCCCCGTGGCCTCCCACACCTTCCAACCAGAAAAGGGCTGGGGTTTTTTCCCAAGACAGAGGAGAAAATACACTTTCCCCAGCATGGATTTTCTCCGTTTGCGGAAGTAAACAACAAAGCACAAACAGATGAATAGATGTTCAGCATCCAGAATACCCAAATATTCCAAAATGGTCCAAAGTGGTCCATAGTCTAGAACTAGGATTGATGTTAGACTGCCTTTAAGTCGATTTTTGGAGTTATTACGACCCCATGAATGAGAGAGGTGCATCTACATTGAAAATAATCATCACCATCATCATAAAAACATGTTGGATTGCTGTGAGTTTTCTGAGCTGTATGGTCATGTTCCAGAAGCATTCTCTCCTGACGTTTTGCACAACCTAAAAGACGGCTTTACACATGGACCTCACCAGACGGTCAACACCGAAATCAGATTGACTACATCCTTTGCAGCCAAAGGTGGCGGACATCCATCCAGTCGGTGAAAACAAGACCTGGGGCTGACTGTAGCTCAGATCACGAACTTCTTATTGCCCAATTTAGAATAAAACTAAAGAGATCAGGGAAAATACACAGACCGGTTAGATATGATCTCACTAACATTCCTAGCGAATATACAGTGGAAGTGAAGAACAGATTTGAAGGACTAGATTTAGTAAACAGAGTCCCAGAAGAACTATGGACAGAAGTCCGCGACATTGTTCAGGAGGCGGCAACAAAGTACGTCCCAAAGAAAAAGAAAACCAAGAAGGCAAAATGGTTGTCTGCTGCGACACTGGAAGTAGCCCAAGAAAGGAGGAAAGCAAAAGGAAACAGGGATAAGGGGAGATATGCCCAGTTAAATGCGCAATTCCAGAGGTTAGCCAGAAGAGATAAGGAACTATTTTTAAATAAGCAATGCATGGAAGTGGAAGAAGACAACAGAATAGGAAGGACAAGAGACCTCTTCCAGAAAATTAGAAACATGGGAGGTAAATTTCAGGCAAAAATTGGTATGATAAGAAACAAAGATGGCAGGGACCTAACAGAAGCTGAAGAGATCAAGAGAAGGTGGCGAGACTATACAGAAGATCTGTATAGGAAGGATAATAATATCGAGGATAGCTTTGACGGTGTGGTGAATGAATTAGAACCAGACATCCTGAGGAGTGAGGTTGAATGGGCCTTAAGAAGCATTGCTAACAACAAGGCAGCAGGAGACGACGGGAGCCCAGCTGAACTGTTTAAAATCTTAAAAGATGATGCTGTCAAGGTGATGCATGCCATTTGCCAGCAAATATGGAAAACACAAGAATGGCCATCAGACTGGAAAAAATCAACTTATATCCCCATACCAAAAAAGGGAAATGCTAAAGACTGCTCAAACTTCTGTACAGTGGCCCTTATATCTCTTGCCAGTACGGTAATGCTCAAGATCATGCAAGGAAGACTCCAGCAATACATGGAGCGAGAGTTGCCAGATGTACAACCTGGGTTTAGAAAAGGCAGAGGAACGAGAGACCAAATTGCCAATGTCCGCTGGATAATGGAGAAAGGCAGGGAGTTTCAGAAAAACATCTACTTCTGCTTCATTGACTATTCTAAAGCCTTTGACTGTGTGGATCATAATAAATTGTGGCAAGTTCTTGGCGGGATGGGCATCCCAAGCCACCTTGTCTCTCTCCTGAGGAATCTATACAAGGACCAAGTAGCAACAGTCAGAACTGACCACGGAACAACAGACTGGTTCAAGATTGGGAAAGGCGTACGGCAAGGCTGCATACTCTCACCCAACCTTTTTAACTTGTATGCAGAACACATCATGCGATGTGCGGGGCTTGATGAATGCAAAGCTGGGGTGAAAATTGCTGGAAGAAACATTAACAACCTCAGATATGCGGATGACACCACTCTGATGGCCGAAAGCGAGGAGGAGCTGAGGAGCCTTCTAATCAAGGTGAAAGAAGAAAGCGCAAAAGCCGGGTTGCAGCTAAACGTCAAAAAAACCAAGATTATGGCAACAAGAATGATTGATAACTGGCAAATAGAGGGAGAAAACGTGGAGGCAGTGACAGATTTTGTATTTCTAGGTGCAAAGATTACTGCAGATGGAGTCCTCAGCCAAGAAATCAGAAGAAGCTTACTTCTTGGGGGGAAAGCAATTACCAATCTCGATAAAATAGTGAAGAGTAGAGACATCACACTGGCAACAAAGATATGCATAGTCAAAGCCATGGTATTCCCTGTAGTCACCTACGGATGTGAGAGCTGGACCTTAGGGAAGGCTGAGCGAAGGAAGATCGATGCTTTTGAGCTGTGTGTTGGAGGAAAGTTCTGAGAGTGCCTTGACTGCGAGAAGATCCAACCAGTCCATCCTCCAGGAAATAAAGCCCGACTGCTCATTGGAGGGAAGGATACTAGAGACAAAGTTGAAGTACTTTGGCCACATCATGAGGAGACAGCAAAGCCTAGAGAAGACAATTATGTTGGGGAAGGTGGAAGGTAAAAGGAAGAAGGGCCGACCAAGGGCAAGATGGATGGATGGCATCCTTGAAGTGACTGGACTGACCTTGAAGGAGCTGGGGGTGGTAACGGCCGACAGGGAGCTCTGGCGTGGGCTGGTCCATGAGGTCACGAAGAGTCGGAGACGACTGAACGAATGAACAACAACAATGGCAGGCATCCTCAGAGGTTGTGAGGTCTGTTGGAAACTAGGAAAATGGGGTTTATATATCTGTGGAAGGTCCAGGGTGGGAGAAAGAACTCTTGTCTGTTGGAGCTAGGTGTGAATATTTCAATTGGCCACGTTGATTAGCATTTGATGGGCTGGCAGTTTTTAGGAGTAGCTTGTTGCTGCCTTTGTTGAGAAATGATTGGCTGTCCCTGATTGTTTCCTGTGTCTGAGTGTTGCTTTATTGTAATAATTTTATTTTTAAAAAAATACTGTTAGCCAGATTTTGTTCATTTTCATGGTTTCCTCCTTTCTGTTGAAATTGTCCACATGCTTGTGGATTTCAATGGCTTCTCTGTGTAGTCTGACATGGTGGTTGTTGTAGTGGTCCAGCATTTCTGTGTTCTCAAATAATATGCTGTGTCCAGGTTGGTTCATCAGTGCTCTGCTATCGCTGACTTCTCTGGTTGAAGTAGTCTGCAGTGCCTTTCATGTTCCTTGATTTGCTGTGTTTGGTGGTCCCTATGTAGACTTGTCCACAGCTGCATGGTATCCAGTAGCCTCCTGCAGAAGTGAGAGGATCTCTCTTGTCCTTTGCTGAACGTAGCATTTGTTGGATTTTCTTGGTGGGTCTGTAGATAGTTTGTATGTTGTGTTTCCTCATCAGCTTCCCTATGTTGTTCCCTTGATGTATGGTGGCAAGAACACTTTCCCTCTGGGTGGATCTTCGTCTTGACTCTCGTGGCTTGTTCTTGGTCTTGCAGCTCTTCTGATGTCTGAGGTGGAGTATCCATTGGCCCGTAGAGCCCAGTTGAAGTGGTTCTGTTCATCTTGGAGGAGGTGGGCTTCACAGATTCTTTTTGCACGGTCTGCCAAGGCTTTAATTGTACTTTCTTTTTGACTTGGGTCAAAAAATAAGTACAATTTTTCACCTTCTCTTCCTTGTACTATTTCTCCTCTTCTTTCTCCTCCTTCTCTTCCTCGTTCTCTTTTTCCTCCTCCTCCTTTTCTCCTTCCCCTTCTTTACTTTTTCTCCTCCCACTTCTCTTCTACTTTTTCTCCTCCTCCTCCTTTTACTTTTTATCATCCTCCTCTTCTTTTTCTTCTTTTCTCCTCCTCCTTTTTCTCCTCCTCCTCTTCTTTTTCTTTATCTCCTCTTCTCCTTTCTCCTCCTTCTCTTTCTCCTTTCTTCTTTGGCTCCTTCTCTTCACCCTTGTCCTTTTCTCCCTCCTCTTCTTCCTCCATCTCTTCCTCTCCTTTTTTCTCTTAAGCATGAAAAGCCCCCTCATATTTGACAGTGTTGTTTTTTTAAAATGTTTCAAATATGTAAAAGAGACCCATGGATTTGAGAGTGTTTCACCAGGAAAGGGCTTCTTTGCAGGTGGTTTTGATCTGATTCTCTTGAGGCATTATACTAAAACTAGCCATCCCCTGCCATGTGTTGCTGTGGTCCAGTCTGTGTATATGTGTTTTTTGTGTGTATATATCTGTGTATGTGTGTGTTTGCATGTGTGTATGTATGTATGTGTGTGTATATATATATATATATATATATATATATATATATATATATATATATAATTGGTATATATGGTTTTGCGCATGCATTGTAATGTATTTTTTATTTTTTGGTTTTTTAAGTCCCTTCCGCTGTGTTTTTCAGTGTTTTTATGAGTGATAGTCACTCGTTGTCCTGATAGGCGTATTCTGTCCAAATTTGATGTCAATTCACCCAGTGGTTTTTGAGTTATGTCAATCCCACAAACCAATATTACATTTTTATTTATATAGATTTGAGGAGTCACTACACACTATTTATTGTTCTTCTACACAACTTATGTATGCAAACAACGATTTTCTGCTTTACTGGTAATTAAAAACAAGTCCAGGAATTGATTGAAAGTAAGTGATATGTATGTAGCTTTGAGCAACAGTATTAGCCCCAGGACTACACAACTTGTAAAGATGCAAGCTCAAAAATCACATTGAAGCAAACCAAATTTAACTTTCTATTTAAAATGTTATTTTTTTATATTATAATAATACTTTTCATTCATGTTACTATTGAGTTTAACAAATACATGTAAAGTTTTGATAAAAGTTTATTTTTAGATTAACACAATTTATTATTCTTGAAACCTGTGGTCCCCGATAACAACAACGACAACAAAATCAAAGTGGTCCCTGGTCAAAAAAAGGTTGGAAACCACTGCTGTAAATTATAACTATGCGTTTCACTGTCTTTCAATTTTAAAAGTTGGGTGGAGAAACTTGAGCTCAAAAGTTGTTTTTGTTCTTTTGGGGTTTTTTTTGTTTTGTCGTTTCAAGAGCAACCTGAGAAACTGCAAGTCATTTCTAGTGTGAGAGAATTGGCCGTCTGCAAGGATGGTGCCCAGGGGATGCCCGGATGTTTTTATCATCCTTGTGGGAGGCTTCTCTCATGTTCCCGCATGAGGAGCTGGAGCTGATAGAGGGAGCTCATCCGCCTCTCCCCGGATTTGAACCTGCGACCTGTCAATCTTCAGTCATGCCGGCACAGGGGCTTAACCCACTGTGCCACCGGGGGCTCCTAGATACAGGTGAAATGTCAGGAGAAAATGCCACCGAGGGCTCAAAAGTACAAGAAGCTGTTAGCCAAATTTCATACAGCCTGCAGAGATAGCGAGGGATACAGTGTATTTTACGTTTTACACATCTGTAAAAACATTATTATGAAGTTGTGACAATGAAATAAAAATGCTAAGCAAAGTCAAAAATATTTGCCAACAATAATTTATTTAATAAAAAGACGAAATGAGAGGAAGAGAACATTATGATCAAGAACTATACAATTGTAGACCTAAAGAAAACAATGGTTCCACATAGGGAACTCTGCTCCCAACACCATCATCTGCACATACTTTTTGCAATAGCACACAATTCACACCTGTAAATATCAACAACAGGATTCTGGCCAATATTGCACTGTTTATATATATATAACTGCAAAGCTAACTCTTCAAAAGATGTGAGAATAAAACAGAAACAAAATCATTCGTTCAGATCCATTCTGTATATTTTGACTCCTCTAAAAATGTAAGAACAAAGGTTTTGTGTAAAGCTGAATTTAAGTGTTCATACAATTTTTATTATAGATTGTTACAGATATGAAGAAAACAAATTCTTGGGTGTATATACACTATGGAATTAGTGCAGTTTGGTATCACTTTAACTGCTATGGCACAATGGTATGGAATCCCACGGTTTGTAGTTTGACGAGACATTGAGTTGTTGTAGGTTTTTTCAGGCTATATGGCCATGGTCTAGAGGCATTCTCTCCTGACGTTTCGCCTGCATCTATGGCAAGCATCATCAGAGGTAGGTCACTACCTCTGATGATGCTTGCCATAGATGCAGTCGAAACGTCAGGAGAGAATGCCTCTAGACCATGGCCATATAGCCCGAAAAAACCTACAACAACCCAGTGATTCCGGCCATGAAAGCCTTCGACAATACATTGACGAGACATTTTTTGACAGAGAAGATAAAGACCTTGTAACTCCCAGGATTCGCTATGCTTGAGCCATGGTCGTTTAAAGTTTCAAACTCGATTGATCCAACAACATAGATGCACCTCAAGTTTATGTTTCCATAATCAAGATTTGGACACAGTATAAGGCAACTTTTGAAAAGGTAGAATCAAACTGCCATCCTTCCTCTGATCAGAAACTACTTCAAAGGTGAAAATGGTGTAGGAATCAGAAGCATGTTTTGCTGAGATGTCAAGAACTCAACATTTTCCCGTACTGAAAGTGTAAAACAATATTGGATTAGGACACCATATAAGGCATTTTAGTCAACACAACAAGGGACATGCAATCATTTCTTACCAGCTGCTACAACCCTGGCATCTTCATGGGCAATATGCCTCCCAGCGGCACGGCTGTCCGGGTTCTCAAACCACCAAAGCACATTCACTGTCAAAGTGGAAGCAAAATGAAAGGGAGATTTCAAAGGCAAATACCCCAATTTAGAGAAAGAGAAGCTACTACTAGTATGTGAATTTCCACAAAAGCACAGCTAAGTACAGAAGAGTGGCATCAGGTTTATAAAAAGGACCCACTGAGGCTATGAGCTTTTCAAAGACCATGCTTGAATGTAAAAATCCCAGATTCATTTTCTGGTAAGAGAGTTTCAATACATGTAGTTGGTTGGTTTAGTCATGTCCCACCTTTCTCCCACTACCTAACCCAAACAATTTAATAAAATTAAAACAAAATACTTAAAATAATCTATATAAATAAAAATGTAATGTTCGTTTGTGGGATTAACATAACTCAAAAACCACTGGACGAATTGACACCAAGTTTGGACACTAGACACCTCCTAACCCAAGGAGTGACCATCACACACAAAAATTTGAATACTGGTGGGATTGGGGGAGGATTGATTTTGTCATTTGGGAGTAGTAATTGCTGGGACTTATAGTTCACCTACAATCAGAGCATTCTGAATTCCACTAATGCTGGCACACAGGACTCCCATGACCAACTTGGGCATTGATGGGTATTGACCTTGAGTTTGAGAGTTGTAGTTCACCTACATCCAGAGAGCACTGTGGACTCAAACAATGATGGATCTGGACCACGCTTGGCACGAATATTCCATATGTTTAAATACGCAGACAAATTGAGTTTGGAGGAAATATACCTTGACATTAGGGAGTTGTAGTTACTGGAATTTATAGTTCACCTACAATCAAAGAGCATGCTGAACCCCACCGACAACAGATTTGGGGCAAACTTCCCACACAGAACCCCCATACTTAAGGCCACTCAGTCCAATTCCCTTCACCAGGGCAAGAAAACATAATCAAAGACCTCCCGACAAAGAGCCATCCAGCCATAGATAGATAGATATAGATAGATAGATAGATAGATAGATAGATAGATAGATAGATAGATAGATAGATAGATAGACTGGGAGTTGTAATTGCTGTGATTTATAGTTCACCTACAATCAAATAGCATGATAGAATTGAACCAACCGGGGCATACAGGACTCCCATGACCAACAGAAAACGCTAGAAGGGTTTGGCGAGCATTGACCTTGAGTTTGGGAGTTGTAGTTCACCATGGACTCAAACAATGATGGATCTGGACCAAACTTGGCACAAATGTTCCATATGCCCAAATATGAACACAGATGGATTTGGGGAAATAGACCTTGACATTTGGGAGTTGTAGTTACTGGGATTTATAGTTCACCTACAATCAAGAGCATTCTGAACCCCACCAACTACAGAATTGGGCCAAACTTCCCACACAGAACCCCCATGACCAACAGAAAATACTTAAGGCCATCCAGTCCAACTCCCTTCACCAGGGCAAGAAAACGTAATCAAAGCCCTCCTGACAAAGAGCCAGCCAGCCATAGATATAGATAGATTGATATTATTCACACAGAGAGATATAGTATCATAGATTTGAAAGAGACCCCTAAAGAAGGACAATTATATGTTGCATGTTCCAGAGTAGGCAAACCAGACAATCTCCACATCAACACTGACAAAGAAACAGCAAGAAATACTGTTTACCCACAAGCATAAAGAAATTACATAGATTAGAAACCAACACTTTCTCATTACTTTATTTTCCAGATCAACAGACTGGGCCACAGCAATGCCTGGCAGGGGACGGCTAGTGTGTAATACGTAGAAATGTTTAGATTTTTCCTGCTGTTTGTTAACAAATAAAGTACTATCAGTATGACAGGGAGGTCTTTCTTCAAAACAAAAGGTTGGACTCCCTTAATACTGATATTCATAAGGTACTTTCCTATATTCATGTTTGTAAAAGTTTTCCCAAATTTTGTTAAATGGTTTCTCAAAACGCTGAAGGTGGAGACCACACTTTCTTTCTAAACTGTGAATCACGGAATATGGCACCATATGAAAACAGTATCATTTACTGTGGAGGGAATTACAATATATAAATGTAATAATAAGAATAAATAGGGTGAAATAATAAATGTAATAATTATTTCACCCTATTTATTATTATTATTACATTTATTATTTTACTCTATTATTATTATTATTATTATTGTTATTATTATTATTATTATTATTATTATTATTACATTTATTATTTTACTCCATTGCCAGTAAAAGTGGTTCCAGTGGTGATCGGCACACAGGGTGCAATGCCTAAAGACCTTGGCCTGCACTTAAACACAATAGGTGCTGACAAAACTACCATCTGCCAGCTGCAGAAGGCCACATTACTAGGATCTGCACGCATTATTCGCCGATACATCACACAATCCTAGACACTTGGGAAGTGTCTGACGTGTGATCCAATTCAACAGCCAGCAGAGTGTCTGCTGTGGACTCATCTTGTTGTGTTTCAAATAAATAGGGTGAAATAATAAATGTAATAATAATATTAATAATAATAATAATAATAATAATAATAATAATAAATAGAGTAAAATAATAAATATAATAATAGTAATAGAGTAAAATAATGTAAATGTAATAATAACAGAGAAAAATAATTGTTCAATTAAAATAATATTTGAATGAAATGCTATTCCCAAAGGGTGGAGGGGAGGAGGGAGGGGTGTAAAATTAATAGACACAAGTGGGAGATAAAGGTGAAATAGGCAAGGATAAGAACACTAAGAAAATAATATTTGATAAGTATTCTGAAATGGTGATTGATTGTGATATTAATCTACCTGTGTCTACAATAAAGAAGCATAATTAAAATAGAGAAAAATAATAAATGCAATAATAATAATAATAGAGTCAAATAATAAATGTAATAATAATAATAAATAGAGTCAAATGGTAAATGTAATAATAATAATAAATAGGGTGAAATAATAAATGTAATAATAATAATACTAATAAATAGAGTAAAATAATCAATATAATAATAGTAATAGAGTAAAATAATGTAAATGTAATAATAATAGCAAAGAAAAATAATTGTTCAATTAAAATAATATTTGAATGAAGTACTGTTCCCAAATGGTGGAGGGAGGGGTGTAAAATTGATAGACACAAGTGGGAGATAAATAATAGAGTAAAATAATAAATAACTTTGACTCAAGTATAAGCCGGGGGGGGGGGGTACTTTTTCAGCCTAAAAAGAGGTTGAAAAACATGTATATACGGTAGTTTAAAAGGAAAAACACCCAAGATATTAAAAGAAATATGAAAAACAAATTGCTGCTGAAACTGGCTGCTTTGCATTGCATTCTCCTCTCTACTTTTGCAGCAAGGTCAAGTTCAAAGTGTTCTGTGTTTGCCCTGATACGAGACATTTTCCTACATTGGCTAACACAACTAAAGGACACACTATGGGACTGATAAAATATACAAGGCACAGACGGAGTAGATCAAAAGGTGTAGCTGAACTAGGAACTCTATAAAGGGGAATGAAATGAATATGGAGCCGAATACATAGCTATTATTTGCAACCACAGCCTGTTTCTTTTAACACTGTATTCCATGAAATGCCTGGCTCAATACCTGTATTAAGTAATCCATATTCTGTGTGAAAGACACCAATCAGCTTAGCATAGCCTCTACTGCTGTGCGCATCAATTGCCGTTTTGAAAGATTTCCCCCACAAAGCCGGCCCTCCTGGTTTCAGCTGATAAGTTACCAACTCATAAACCCCTAGGAAGGAGGAAAAAAACATCAGATTTATATATACGGTAATTTTACTTTTTGATTCCTTAACGGATGGAAAATAGCCTTTGAGTTATTCACAGAGGTATGGAAACCCAATAGTATGGTTGGGTTTCCGTTCCGTCACCAGGGCCCCTTCCACACAGATGAATAAAACCACACATTATCTGCTTTGAACTGAAATATATGGCAGTGTGGACTCAGATAACCCAACTCGAAGCAGGCATTATGGGATTTTCTGCCTTGATATTCTGGGTTATATGGCTGGGTCCCTGGATGCTGAAGATCCACACTTATTCTTTATAGTCTTCTGCAAACTCTGCACTTGCTTCAATGTGCAATGTACCTTTGCTTTGGTATCTTGTTTTAAAACTGCTCTGATTTGAAGTTTGAAATGGATAAAACAGTTGTACGAGGTGAGCTACTAATAAAGAAATATTTCTGGTGGGGAAATAAACACACCATAGAGTGTAGAAGAATCTAGGGAGCGACATGCACGCATTTCTAAGGCCCCTTCTACACTGCCATATAATCCAGATCAATGCAGATATTCCACATTATCTGCTTATATGAGTCTGCACTGCCATATCATTTCATTCAAAGCAGATAATCTGGATTTTATATGACAGAGCAGAAGGGGCCTCAGAGACTTGAGAATGCAGTACAAAAGATTAACTTTGGAACTATCTCTAATTTAAGTTCAATAATAATAATAATAACAACAACAACCTTGGCCTGCATTAAACACAATCGGCGCTGACAAAATTACTATCTGCAGAAGGCCACCTTACTGGGATCTGTACGCATTATTCGCCGATACATCACACAGTCCTAGACACTTGGGAAGTCTCCGAATTGTGATCCAGTTCAACAGCCAGCAGAGTGTCTGCTGTGGACTCATCTTGTGTTTCAAATAATAATAATAATAATAATAATAATAATAATAACAATAATAATAATACACTTTATTTATATTTCTGGTCTGTCTCCCCGAGGGGACTCAGAGTGGATAACAGTATACATATATATAGGCAAACATTCAATGGCTTTTTATGCAGTGTACAATGATATACAATACACAAACAAAGGCAAAGATTTCCCTTTCCATCTCTGGCATTTGGAGGTAATGCTCAACTCTGGCCATGGGGAGGTGCTCTTGTTCCATTTTTCCATGCCGAGCAACTGTTGTCCATAGACCCTCCTGGTTGTGTTTGCCAGCAGGCCTGCATGGGGCGCCTTTTACAATCCTGCCGAGGTGGTACCTATTGATCTACTCAAATTTGCATGTTTTCGAACAGCTAGATAGGCTAGGTGGGCAGAAGGTAGGGCTGACAGCAGGAGCTCACCTCAACCCGTGGCTTCGAACTGCCAACTGCAAGATTTCTACAGCTAGTGGTTTAACCTGTAGCCTTGCAGAAACGTATGCAAGGATGTGAACACATTTCTAAGCAAAATCATCATGTATATAAAGGAAATAATTGTCTTGTATTTGGACCTAAATCAAAGATGTCTGGAAAATGTGAATTAAATACTATGTATGACTACTAATGGGCCAGAGGTTTAGCACAGCGGATAAATCACCAGCAACTAGAAGATCTATCAACCGAAGATTGCAAATTCGAAGCCCCGGGTCGGCATGAGCAGTCGACTGTCAGCCCTGCTCACTGTTTATATAAGCAGTTCGAAAACAGCTTTAGCTGAAATTAGAGAAATTAGGTACCACTAAAAGTGGGGGAGGCGTTTTACAACATCATAAAGAAAGAAGATCAGAAAATGCTGGATGACCAAAAAGGAAGGAGGAAGTCCTGACGGCTCTTCGTCATAGAGAATGGAGCAATAGCACCCTCTGTGCCTGAACTCACCTTCCTTGGCACCAAAAAAAAACAACAACAAAACAGTTGGACACTGAGTCAACAACACCTCCTTTCTGTTCTGTCTGTCTGTGTATTGTCTATACAAAAGCAGCATTGAATGTTTGACGTGCATGTGTGTTGTGATCCGCCCTGAGTCCCCTTCGGGGTGACAAGGGCGGAATATAAATAAAGTGTTGTTATTATTATTATTATTATTATTATTATTATTACGTATCAGAAATTGTTTGAATTAAATCAAATTAAGATTGAAGCATCAAGTAAACCAAAGATGGCAAATAATGTGCTAATTGGGTTGTTGTAGGTTTTTTCGGGCTATATGGCCATGTTCTAGTAGAGGCATTTTCTCCTGACGTTTCGCCTGCATCTATGGCAAGCAACCCAAGAATGACATCCCTCCCCTAATATTTAAGAATATCTAATAGTGGCAGTCTTTATAATGCCACTATTTTATTTGCACATCATTAGCCTGATTTGCCTAATACAAGTGGGCTTGTTTTATTACTACTTTCAATAAATTTACTCTTTTTTTACTTTAGTTTGTTTTAAAATGTGTGAAACAAGTAACATAATATTTAACCAGAGATAAGCATTGCCTTTTTAAAAATTAAATATTTTGTTTAAAGTTCAAATGTCAAATGAAAGAAATATATATATAATTTTATGTGTTGCCAGAAGGTCAACCTTTCACCTGTGATCTAGCTTCAGAAAGGTTGGAACAAGATCCATTAGCTTTGATGAAACCTGCATTAGTTTGATGGCCAATTCAATCTGATTTTTTCTGTGGAGTTCTACTCCATAGATGTTAAATTGATATAATAAACCACATAATTACTAAGATAACATACCGGGTTGTGGGGGGACCCCAAGTTGACACCAGGGAACCAAATAAGCGATTTCCATGTGCTGTTTATGGAGGCATTGAAGAATCGTGGACAATTTTTCCTGCCATTCTTTATCATTAACTACAGCTTTCCTCACAGCTGCTCTGTGAGCAAAGTTATCTATAAGAAAAAAGTAGTATTAACTTAGCAGGTGAGACAGACATATATGCTTCCACAACAACAAAGCTGTTTAGAAATAAAAGGCAATCCAAATAAGTATTTAACAAGATAGCTTTATGCTTTTTACAATATCCTGTTGTAAAATTAAATAATACTGTAATAATAATAATAATAATAATAATAATAATAATAATAATAGCCATTAGAACCAATGCCATCAATGCCAGAATTGAAAAGTCGACAACAGATCCCAAATGTAGACTCTGCAAGGAAGCAGATGAAACGATACATCACATCCTCAGCTGTTGCAAGAAGATCGTGCAGACAGACTACAAACAGAGATATAACACCATTGCTCAGATGATTCATTGGAACTTGTGCCACAAATACCATCTGCCTGCGACAAAGAATTGGTGGGATCACAAGCCTGAAAAAGTTACAGAAAATGAACAAAATGAACTGCAAAGACTATGGCACAAGCCAGTCAAGGTGGTCCTGGTGGTGATCAGCACACTGGGTGCAGTGCCTAAAGACCTTGGCCTGCACTTAAACACAATCAGCACTGACAAGATTGCCAGCTGCCAGCTGCAGAAGGCCACCTTACTGAGATCTGCATGCATTATTCGCTAATACATCACACAGTCCTAGACACTTGGGAAGTGTCCGACGTGTGATCCAATACAACAGCCAGCAGAGTGTCTGCTGTGTTAATAATAATAATAATAATAATAATAATAATAAGCTGATGAAACCATAGATCATATCCTCAGCTGTTGCAAGAAAATTGCACAGATGGACTACAAACGAAGGCACAACTCTGTGGCCCAAATGGTTCGCTGGAACTTATGTCACAAGTACCACTTCCAAGCAATAAAAATTGGTGGGACCATAAACCCGCAAAGGTTGTGGAAAATGAACATGCAAAAATACTGTGTGACTTTCGAATCCAGACTGACTTTTGGAACATAATACACCAGACATCACGATTGTGGAAAAGAAAAAAGTTTGGATTATTGACGTCGCCATTCCAGGTGACAGTCACACTGAGGAAAAACAACAGGAAAAGCTCAGCCGTTATCAGGACCTCAAAATCGAACTGCAAAGGCTCTGGCATAAACCAGTACAGGTGGTTCCAGTGGTCATTGGCACACTGGGTGCCGTGCCAAAAGATATCAGCCAGCATTTGGAAACAATAAACATTGGCAAAATTATGATCTGTCAACTGCAAAAGGCCAACTTATTTGGATCTGCGCGCATAATTCGGAAATACATCACACAGTCCTAGACGCTTGGGAAGTGTTCGACTTGTGATTTTGTGATACGAAATCCAGCATAGAGATCTCATCTGTTGTGACATACTATGTTTTTGTGTCAGTATAATAATAATAATAATAATAATAATAATAATTATTATTATTATTATTATTATTATTATTATTTCTTCCGCTCAATGGCTGCCAATGAATTTGAAGCCCCTTCTACATTGCCATAAAATCCAGATTATCTGCTTTGAACTGGATTATATGGCAGTCTAGACTCATATAATCCAGTTCAAAGCAAATAATCTGGATTTTATATAGAAGTGTAGAAGGGGCCTAGGGTCTCTTCCACACAGATATATAAAATCCCAATTCAGCCTTGATATTCTGGGTTATACACCGTGTGGAAGGGCTCCAAGTCTCACTTAAACACCCATAATCTTGTGCAAATAAACATTCTACTTTATTTGTTTAGCACAGAAAAGCCAGTTTGCTGTACTCATACTATTCAGTGCATACCATATTTCCAAATATGAAAAGCCTTATTCATCGACCCAAGCTCCGCTGTCCAGAATCCAAGCATCTCCGAGTGAACCGTACGGATGTGAATGGCTTTACTGACCAATTCAAGGAACTCCTTTGCTTTGGCCGGCTTGATATCGTAAGTGCGAAGTTCATAGAAAGTCCCAACATCTTGCCTAGGGCCTGTTGCAAACGATGAACAAACCTGATGCACGCTTGTCTTTAGAGAGACAAAATATGGGAGGAAACAGAAAGAAAAAGGTGTAAAATGTTAGGTTGGAAGCTGTGTTGGTAATTATGCTGATAGGAGACGCAGTGAGTTAAACCCTTGTGCCAGCAGGATGGACAGGTGGCAGGTTCGAATCCGAGGAGAGTGCGGATGAGCTCCCTCTGTCAGCTCCAGCTCCACACGCAGGGACATGAGAGAAGCCTCTCACAAGAATGGTAAAACACCAAAAACATCCGGGCATCTCCTGGGCAATGTCCTTGCAGACAGCCAATTCTCTCACACCAGAAGCAACTTGCAGTTTCTCAAGTCGCTCCTGATACGAAAAAGAAAAATCCTGATCCCTAAAATGCTCTAGTAAATGACCCTGCAAATTGTACCTTGAGAAGCCAGATCTCTTAGGCCATCCAGTCCAACCCCCTGCCAAGAAGCAGGAAAATTGCACCCCTGACAGATGGCCATCCAGCCTCTGTTAAAAAGCTTCCAAAGAAGGAGCCTCCACCACACTCCGGGGCAGAGAGTTCCACTGCTGAACGCTCTCACAGTCAGGAAGTTCTTCCTCATGTTCAGATGGAATCTCCTTTCTTGTAGTTTGAAGCCATTGTTCCGTCTCCTAGTCTCCAGGGAAGCAGAAAACAAGCTTGCTCCCTCCTCCATGTGACTTCCTCTCACATATTTATACATGGCTATCATGTCTCCTCTCAGCCTTCTCGTCTTCAGGCTAAACATGTCCAACTAGGGTTGTATTGTTGAAGGATTTCATGGATGGAATCACTGGGGTGTTGTGCGGTTTCAAGGCTGCATGGCTGTGCCCTAGCAACATTTTCTACTGACATTTTGCCTGCATCTGTGGCTGGAATCTTCAGAGGATCCTTCAGAGGATGCCAGCCACAGATACAGGTTTGTTTGTTTTTTTGTCGTATCAGGAGCAACTTGAGAAACTGCAAGTCACTTCTGGTGTGAAAGAATTGGCCGTCTGCAAGGACGTTGCCCAGAGGACGCCCAGATGATTTGATGTTGTTATCATCCTTGTGGGAGGCTTCTCTCACCGGGATTGTGGCGCAGCTGGCTGAGTATCAGCTGCATTAAGATCACTCGGACCAAAAGGTCATGAGTTCGAAGCCAGCCCGGGTTGGAGTGGGTTTCCAACCAATTGTGTAGCCTGTTGTCGACCTTTGCAACCTGAAAGACAGTTGCATCTGTCAAGTAGGAAAATTAGGTACCACCTTAAAGTGTGGGGAGGCTAAATTAACTGATTTATGAGGCCATAAAGAAAAAGCAAGCACTCCAGCAAAAAAGCATGCGGGGAATGCGGAAGTACTTCATTAGTGTCGCAGATGGACAATGAACGCGACAGCTCCCCTGGCGGCCAGAAAAAGTTAAATAGCCTCTGTGTATGTCTGTATATGTTGTATGTTGAATGCTTGCCATATATGTGTACACTGTAATCTGCCCTGAGTCCCCTGCGGGGTGAGAAGGGCGGAATATAAAAGCTGTAAATAAATAAATAAATAAATAATGTCCCAGCATGAGGAGCTGGAGCTGATAGAGGGAGCTCATCCGCCTCTCCCTGGATTTGAACCTGCGACCTGTTGATCTTCAGTCCTGCTGGCACAGGGGTTTAACCCACTGTGCCACCGGGGGCTCCTAAATACAGGTGAAATGTCAGGAGAAAATGCTGCTAGAACATAGCCATACAGCCTAGAATAATAGAATCATAGAGTTGGAAGAGACCTCATGGGCCATCCAGTCCAACCCCCTGTCAAGAAGCAGGATAATCACATTGAAAGTACCCCTGACAGCTTAACAATGTCCAAAGAAGGAGCCTCCACCACACTCCGGGGCAGAGAGTTCCACTGCTGAACGGCTCTCACAGACAGGAATTTCTTCCTAATGTTCAGATGGAATCCCCTTTCTTGTGGTTTGAAGCCATTGTTCATAATGAGCAAGCAAAACCTCCCCTAATTTTAATAGGAAAACCACACCATATGGGAACTTGGCACTTTCCCAGTTGGGTTTGCTAGCAGACAGGAAAAGACAACAAGAAAAAAAAAGCCTGGGCCTTGGAACAGCTGCTTCAGATCAAGATCAACCCCCCAAAAGGGAGGAGAAATAGCAGGGGGTGCATCTACAGCAACTTTCCCTGCTATGGGAATCCTGAGAGTTCTGTTTGGCAGGGAAGGCTTAAAGCTTTGTGCAAGACTACAGCTCTCTGTTTAGCCCTGGAATTCAAGTAGTGGCAAGCTGCATTCCTTCTGCACAGTGTTGCTGCACCTTTAAGGACTGCCAAGCAAAGGCTCACAGCAAAAGACACTGGGGGGAATGGGGTTTGGGGGCATTACCTGAGCACACCTTCGGGGCAGGGATCCAGCTCGGCGACAGAGGGCAAAGAAGAAGCCCGACATGACGCTGATCCGGATCTGGAGGAGGCCAAATATGGGGCACTAACCACTTCCAGAGTCCTGATTGGGAGAGAGGCACCCAGGAAGGAAAAACTGGCAAAGGCACCGCCTGGCTCTCAAGGAAAGGAGGGGAGGCGTGGACTTCTGTAGTCTTCTCCCACCACAAGGAAGGAAGGAAGGAAGGAAGGAAGGAAGGAAGGAAGGAAGGAAGGAAGGAAGGAAGGAAGGAAGGAAGGAAGGAAGGAAGGAAGGAAGGAAGGAAGGAAGGAAGGAAAAACTGACCCCCCTTCTACACTGCCATATAAAATCCAGTTTATCTGCTTTGAACTGGATTATAGAACAGTGTAGACTCATATAAAGCAACTAGTCTGGATCCTCTGCTTTGATAATCTGGATTACAGTATATTGCAGTGTAGATCCAGCCTCAGAAGCCTGGGATGGGGATGAGGGGGGAGGGCAGGACCATGGCCAGAAATAAAATTGGGGGAGAGGGGGGTGAAACTTTTTTTAATGGAAAAAAATTTAAATAGTACTAGCCGTCCCCTGCCACGCGTTGCTGTGGCCCAGTCTGGTGATACTGGAAAATAAAGTAATGAGAAAGAGTTGGTTTCTAATATATGTAATGTCTTTCTGCTTATGGGTAAACAGTATTTTGTTGTTGTTATGTTTTTTTGGGCTATATGGCCATGGTCTAGAGCAGTGTTTCTCAACCTGGGGGTCGGGACCCCTGGGTGGGTCACGAGGGGGTGTCAGAGGGGTCACCAAAGACCATCAAAAAACGCAGTATTTTCTCTTGGCCACAGGGCTTCTGTGTTGGAAGTTTGGCCCAATTCTACCATTGGTGGGATTCAAAGGGCTCTTTGATCATAGGTGAACTGTAAATCCCAGCAATGATAACTCCCAAATATCAAGGTCTATTTTCCACAAACTCCACCAGTATTGACATTTGGCATATTGAGTATTCGTGCCAAGTTTGGTCCAGATCCATCATTGTTTGAGTCCACAGTGCTCTCTGGATGTAGGTGAACTACAACTCCCAAACTCAAGGTCAATGCCCACCAAACCTTTCTAGTGTTTTCTGTTGGTCATGGGAGTTCTGTGTGCCAAGTTTGGTTCAATTCCATCGTTGGTGGAGTTCAGAATGCTCTTTGATTGTAGGTGAACTATAAATCCCAGCAACTACAACTCCCAAATGACAAAATCATTCTCTCCCAACCCCACCAGTATTCAGATTTGGGCATATTGGGTATTTGTGCCAAATGTGAATGAAAACACATCCTGCATATTGGATATTTACATTAGGATTCATAACACTAGAAAAATTACAGTTATGATGTAGCAACAAAAATAGTTTGATAGTTGGGGGTCACCACGACATGGGGAACTGTATCAAGGGGTTGCCGCATTAAGAAGGTTGAGAAACACTGGTCTAGAGGCATTCTGTCCTGACGTTTCGCCTGCATCTATGGCAAGCATCCTCAGAGGTAGTGAGGTCTGTTGGAAGTAGGAAAAAGGGTTTATATATCTGTGGAATGACCAAGGTGAGACAACGGACTCTTCTCTGCTGGAGCTAGGTGTGAATGTTTCAACTGACCACCTTGATTAGCATATAATGGCCTGGCAGTGCCTGGAGCAATCCTTCGTTGAGAGGTGATTAGATGTCCTTGTTTGTTTCCTCTCTGTTGTTGTGCTGTTGTAATTTTAGAGTTTTTTAATACTGGTAGCCAGATTTTGTTCATTTTCATGGTTTCCTCCTTTCTGTTGAAATTGTCCACATGCTCGTGGATTTCAATGGCTTCTCTGTGTAGTCTGACATGGTGCTTGTGAGAGTGGTCCAGGCCCATAGCCAGGATTTTGTTTCAGGGGGGCTGAGTCTGAGTGAAAGAGGGTCTACCCTAGCAAACCTTTTGTATCGTTACCCCAATACCCCCATGCATATGGGATATATTGAGCATGGTGATCAGATCAGTTTAAATAATGTACCAGTAAGGCCTTCTCGCGGACCACCATGAGAATTTCGGGGGGAAACTTTTCCCCTCCTTAACCCAAAAAAAGGGGCGGATCTAGAGAACATAATGATAATTGATGGGTCATTGGCCCTGTTATTGCAAATCAAGGGAAGCCACCTTATTGCAAAATGCATGGAACTTTGGAATACATGCAAACACTCAATAGAAAGGAAAAGATGTTGGAGCTCCTGGTACAGCCGTACCAGCACAGTATTTCTGAAATCGATCAACTAGAAATCGATTTCTGAAATCGATCAACTAGAGAAGGAAGATCAATGCAGAATTGTTACAAATTATAACGATAGTGATGATGATGATATGACGCATTGAATTCACATAAATTGCAGAAAGCATTAGCAAGAATTAGTAAAGTGCTAGAATATATAGCAGATGATTCAGTGGCTTTTGCTGCCCAAAGTATTAATGCTATGACGGTCACCGTGCACATTGCATTAGGGAGCTGATCAAAAATCTAGAAACAGCTTTGCTTAGGTGCCATTAGAGGTGAGTTACTCTTTCAACGCAAAGCATGGGAGAAGGTGTTTGTGAAAAGTGCTCATAATAAACAAGTGATGCCAACGTTATAAAATCAAAGGTTGGATAGGAGACTACTTTGTGGTGGATATACTTCTTTTTGTGGAGTAAGAGAAAATGGCAAACAGTAAAATTATAGAAGACAAATGGCCCTTCCACACAGCCACATAATCCAGAATATCAAGGCAGAAAATCCCACATTTTCTGCTTTGAACTGGAATATATGGCAGTGTGGACTCAGATAACCCAGTTCAAAGCAGATATTGTGGTATTTTCTGCCTTGATATTCTGGGATATAGAGCTGTGTGGAGCAGTTGTACAGACCAAGACAGTAATTTTGTAGACAAGATATTTCAGCAGCAGAATCAAGATATAGGATGATATATAGGAAAGTTTAGTTCTGACCTGATTACCAGGCCAGAACATCAGATCAATGGGTTATTCAATCTGTAACACAAGGAAGCAACAAGACAAGACACTGAAAGGTGGATATATTTCCTCAATAGTAACAAGAGAAGCAAAAGTGAATAGTTTAGAAATAAGCCTTTGGGCCAAATGGGATCAATGTTTTGCACGGAGTACCCTAGAGAAATCCCTTTATTTGCTTTCTACTGTAAAGGTAAAGGTAAAGGTTTTCCCCTGACATTAAGTCCAGTTGTGTCCAACTCTGGGGGTTGGTGCTCATCTCCATTTCTAAGCCGAAGAGCTGACGTTGTCCGTAGACACCTCCAAGGTCATGTGGCCGGCATGACTGCATAGAACGCTGTTACTGTATGTGAGTTAAAAGGTGATTCTTAATTTAGAGAAAAATACCATTCTCTTAACTGCGTTTATCGGTGTTTTATTTGCTTACTACACCAAGTTGTTGCGGAGCTTATTTGTACCTACAGATTTTAACACAGTGGTTGTAGCAGTCAGCAACTGCAACCAGCCCATGGTCCAGTATGGAGAGGCCGCTTGGGCCTTGCAAGCCTTGGCTCATCACAACAGCACTCAGGGAAGAGTCTGGATTGAACAGCACAACGCAGTTTTGTGCTTCGTCAGACACAAGGACGTTTCCGTGACAGTCCACACAGATTCCGGAGGGGTTTTCAAAAGTGAATTTTTTCCCATAGTGAGGCCCGATGGTCTGCTTCACGCTACGCTCCTTGTCAATCACTTTGATGCAGCAACCTTGGAATCTTCCAAAAAGCTGGCCTTCTGTGACTAACATCTCGTCATCCTGGGGGCAAGAACAAATCAGAGTGATCATAATGTGTGCTACATAAGAAAAGACATCTCATTTTTTAAATCACCCACTTTTCTGTCTCACTCCATCTCTAAGAAATTCAGGGAAACATATTTTATCCTTGCAAAGAAGGGGTTTGGACTGGATGGCCTTGGTGGTCTTCCCTAGGTTATGGGCCCAAATTAACTGGGGCTATGTATTGTCGAAGGCTTTCATGGCCGGAATCACTAGGTTCTTGTGGGCTTTTTTCGGTCTATATGGCCATGTTCTAGAGGCATTCTCCTGACGTTTCGCCTGCATCTATGGCAAGCATCCTCAGAGGTAGTGAAATCCACAAGCATGTGGACAATTTCAACAGAAAGGAGGAGACCATGAAAATGAACAAAATCTGGCTACCAGTATTAAAAAACTCTAAAATTACTACAGCAAAACAGCAGAGAGGAAACAACCAGGCACATCTTAACACCTCTCAACAAAACATTTTCCCAGGCGCAGCCAGGCCTTCAAATGCTAATGAAGGTGGTCAGTTGAAACATTCACACCTAGCTCCAGCAGAGAAGAGCTCTTTGCCCCACCCCAGCCATTCCACAGATATAAACCCATTGTCCTAATTCCAACAGACCTCACTACCTCTGAGGATGCTTGCCATAGATGCAGGCGAAACGTCAGGAGAAATGCCTCTAGAACATGGCCATATAGCCCGAAAAAACCCACAAGAACCTAACTGGGGCTATTTTTTTATTTGTTAGTGATATTTGTATCTTGTCTTTCTTCCAATGAGCCTTCATTGGAAGAAATACATTCTTAGCTTTCACCCATCTTACTTTATCCACCTCCTTATCCACCTTTATCTCGTAATTTAAGATCAACTGGGGAGGCCCTGCTCTCGGTCCCACCAGCTTCACAAACGGGTCTGGTGGGGACAAGGGACAGGGCCTTCTCGGTGGTGACCCCCACCTGTGGAATTCACTCCCCAGCAAGATCAGATTGGCTTCATCCCTCCTTTCCTTTGGGGTATAAATAAAATTAGATGGGGTTACACTCCCCCTGAAGACAAAGGTTCGCAGCTTGGGAGTGATCCTGGACTCATCGCTGAACCTGGAACCCCAGGTCTCAGCGGTGGCTGGGAGAGCTTTTGCACAATTAAAACTTGTGCTTGCGCCCGTACCTTAGGAAGTCAGATCTGGCCACAGTGGTCCACGCTCTTGTTACATCCCGAATAGATTACTGCAACGCACTCTACGTGGGGTTGCCTTTGAAGACTGTTCGGAAACTTCAATTAGTCCAGCGGGCGGCGGCCAGATTAATCACCGGAGCGTCATA